GCAACTTTACTTGCACGCATAAACCGACATGCACACATGTATTTGTGCGTGTGTGAGTTTGCATATGGATGGATGGATGGATGGATGGATGGATGGATGGATGGATGGATGGATGGATGGATGGACGGATGCATGTATGTGTATGTATGTATGTATGTATGTATGTATGTATGTATGTGTGTGTGTGTGTATGTGTGTATGTATGTGTGTGTGAGTATGTATGTACATAAACCAGTTCTTTAGCATGAAGCAACGTAGGAAGATATGATATCCATAATATGGGAGTCTCCGAAAATCAGGGGTACCTTATTTTGGGGTCCTTATAATAAGGATCCTATTATTTGGGGTACTATATTAGGGTCCCCTATTTTCGGAAACCCCCATATAACAATGTGCTATGACCTAATATATTATAGCACAGCACAGTGTAGACTGATATAAATGTAGTATAGTATAAAAACCCAAATCGTAGAATAACAGGATATGATGCAAGATAACATGATGTAATGAAGCATTAAATGATAATATAGTACACAGAAATATCAGATGACATGATATCACATTTTTAGTATAGCAGAACATGTTATAGTACCTTACAATATGGTACAGTAAATTTCATAAAATATACAATCAACATGGCATAGTATATACAACATATTATAACGAAAAAGAATATAGCATGATATGACGGATTAAATGTATTGTAACATATATCGTAAGACAGCATAATATGGCATAATTCGATATATTCTTAGTTTAATTTGATTTCATTTACTACCGGGTTAAAATTCATTGTATGTTATTGCATAACGTTATTCTACAATATATGATGTAACGTACTGTAGCATATCGTGACATGATGTATTGGCATGTAGTGTATGATTGATTTTTATGTGTCATGTGTACATTCAGTGCACATATACATGTATATATATATATATACATATATATATATATATATATGTATCTCCCTATCTATCGGTCTGTCTATCTATCCATCCATCCATATATCTATCTATCTATCTATCTATCTATCTATACAATTGTGGTAACACAAACTGCAAGGAAGACCCTTTCCAAGAGCCTTTTTGAACACCCCTGCGCCAGGCGAATTCGATGGACAGGGCCTGGCCAATCTCGGCCAAGCGATGGCGAAGAGCCTTTCCTGTTAAGGGACTGGGCGTTTGGGGTCTACTATCAGCTTACAACTGTCTAGATTTTACTTATGGAGATGTCCCGTGAGGCCATTGCAGCGAGGTGTTCGAACGGTTTTTCGCATAGTTTCCTTCGCAGTTGAAGTTGTTCAATGACTTGTCGTTCAACATTTGGCGTGGAGGTTGGCGGTCTTTGTGCTCAGCCTTCGCTTAAGACCTGGTACGTTTAGGCTTCTTGTGGTCTGGGCGCCGCGAGAACATCTGGCCTGGTTAGGAAACCGCCGGTTCGACATATCCTGAGGAGCAGGACCAACAATGAGAATCCGGGGTCCTGACTCAGGTTCCGACACTGTTTGGCAACGTCGCTTTAAAACCGCAAGGCTAGAGATCGAAATTCTTAGAGCTCAGAGTCTTGCGTCCTAACGGCCCTATGCCCGAAACGGGTGTGTGGCTTGCTCGGTTTTGGGGTTGAGGGGTTACGGGATATTCAGGACCAGAAAAAATCTGAGCACGGGAGGAATCCTAATTGACATGGGGAGATAGCCGGCATGGCTTCGGTGAAGCTCTGCATCTGAGACTTTTCCTACCGAGGACCCTAGTCGTCCATGATGAGCTTCTATGCGTTCTGGTGTCTGAGTCGCTCAAAAGCCCATGGAAGTTTTCCCCGCAGGAACAGTCGATTCTGGCATGGGCTTTTTCCAGCCTGGCCTCCCTGCAAGACCGCCTGGAACAAGCGGAAAAGCGGCGTGAGCAAGCAGATGGGTTACAAGAATTGGGCGTTCCGGCATTTCACACAACAGGATCACGTGATTTTCTCTCCCAAGTCCTCGCACGTCTTCGGCTTGCGCTGACTTACCAAGCTCAAGTCGAAAATATCAGCCCAATCATGGAACGCCCTCGGTTGCTGCGCACTCTCCTCGATCAGCACGGGCATTTGAGATTAGCCTGAGCTTTGGCTAGGCAGTTTGATAAGCCTCTCCTCGGATCTTGTGGATCCTAGATGTTGGGGCCGTGGAGGTCAAGCCAAGCGTAATGTTCACATGCTGCTTTTAGTTCTCCAATCTCGTTCGGTTCGGGGCCCAAAGCGTCCAAAAGGGTCCTGTGTTGCATGCGGCTAGTAGAGCGAGCTTCAACAGAATACAGGGGTCTGAATAATTGCGAACATTCTTCCGCTAAAACCCCCACATCTACACAACCCCTCATGTTCCATACCTCCAGTTTCCGGCCCGAGGCCAGGAAATTCGCATTTGAGCACTGGAACACCAAATTGAAGCTGGAGTCTTGCCAGCAAGACTGACATCGGGGTGCAGGGCCTCAATGCGTCCACATTTTAGTGGCCAGGCTATGGAAGATATGAGTACTAGTGATAGCAACAACAGGAAGGACAATAACAGTAGTGATAACAACAAGGACAATCAGAGCTTAGGGCGACGAGTTGTGATGGTTGAGGACGGAGCACTGATAAGCTCCTCTCGAAGTTAAGACAAGCCGAGGACGCCCAACCACCGATGCCAAAATCCAAAACCGGAAAATCCCATCTAGAAACCGTGCCGATCGATTCGGCAACATGTGGGCCTGAAGATTTAGCGATAGCTCCTTGGGGTTCCCCACTACCTTGAGAGCTGGTGTCGTTAGTTAAGCATCTACAGTGTGCTTCCCGTAGCATGCAATCGCTCCCAAGGACAAAAAGCTGCATCTCGGACGCAGACACGTGAAGGTAACAGACGTAGCCTCTCTTACGCCAGCTTGTGCAGCCAGCCCCAAACATGGCCGCATGCTCAACTGGAAAGTAGCATCAGCAAGAAACGACAGTCCCTCAAGCATGCAGCCAAAGTGGCACAAGGGAGTTGGCCTTAAGCTTTGGGGCTTTGCAGCACATGGATCTCTGGGCCAAGAACTCCAGCCCCGGTTGGGTACTACTGAGCTTTCGATGCCGCAGGTAAAGTTGGGGTTCAAGCTTAGGTGTTGTTGACAAGGCTGGGATGCAGAGAAACCCACGGGCGCATGCTCAGCAAAACTTGGCAACTTGAGCAGATGGCGTCTATGAGCCGGACCCATCGAGAATGGGAACCCAAATCAAGAGCTCAGAGATTCGGGTGCAGGGCTTGCGAAGGCTAACTCACTCCTTAACCAGCCTCTCAATCCAGTTGATCCGATCTGCGAGAGACTAAGTCGGAGACTAAATCCGTCTCTCGCCATTCCCCGCCAGGTCTCGAGCCGAAACAAACAGGCCAAACAATACCTGCAAAGTGAACCCTAATATGGAGGCCTGGAGACTTAAGATCCCTGCCGCCTCAGGGACATCTTCCGCAAAGTCCGAGAAAAGGCAACTGTTGGCGTTCCGAATGTTTTAGGGCTTCCGGTACTGTTCGCTGTGCAGCAACATAGGCAGGACGTTGCGCCGTTGTTGTATGCGGCGACACAGGGTTTACGGTCTTTGCAGGCTTCATGCGTTCATGAAGTTCATGAACACAACAAGGGCGAAGGCGATTTCTTCTTGACGTTGGTATTCCTTTACGGCTTGCTGCCTCAAAGGTCCGATGTGGCCAGCAGCCACAAGCCAATATAGAGGTTTCCAGAGTTTGCATGGTCCCTACATGTCCCTACGGCCTTGAGGGTTTTGGGGCGGTGGGATTTGGAGTCTGGGTGTATCGGATCCGTGGCTTACAGGATTGCGCTTGGAGGCCTCAAGCTAGTTAAAGACACCATCACATTCAGTTTTTTGAAGAGCGTATGTTCGCAGCTACGCCAGTGGTACATGAAAACACAGACATAAATAAATGTATACAGTATGCATGCACATGTACATATACACATACATGTACATGTATATTTATATATATACACACAGATAGCAATGTGTTTGGTGATCATAGTCAGGGTGAGAACAGTGAGAGCTAGTCTGGTGCATCCTCACACTGTGACTGTGACGGCAGTGTTGCCAGTTACAAAATCCACGCCCCAAGACCTGGAAGAGGAAGCCCCAGGCCCTGAACCTCGGCTGGGCCAGGAGGGCGCCGATCTCCCGACTGCAATGCAACGGCTTATGTGCCACCTTGACTTTCCGAGTTTTGGCTTTCGGGCGCAAGGTTGTTTCAGTGCCGGTCCAAGAGAGTATACTTCTGTTTGTGCGTGTGTTTCAGGTGTTAAGATATAGCTTCTGGGTGCATAGATTGTGTGTCCCCCAGCCGCTCTATACTACATCGACAAACATGGCTTTCGGGCTGATGCTTACGGCTTGTGGAGATTCCTCAAGTGCCAAAGTGTGCCGAGAACTGCTCCGGGCTCGAGAGTGGACCATGCAACTGTGACATATACTGCTGCAAGAGCGACCACACAAGGGGATGAGGGAAGTTGCAGATGCTGTGACTGACTACGTCTTCATTCCTAGTGGATGCGCTTTGAGCTCAGGGCATAGGCTATAGGCTTTCAATTGTGCAGCCTTGGTGTGGGCCTTGTCCTTCTCGAGATGTTGTTCGGAGCGGGATAGGTCGGATAGGGGCCTTTTTAACCCTGTCAAACAGCATGACTAAATCAATTCATGAATTTGTTTGCAATAGACTGATGATGGTGACCTCCTGCCACGTTGTGATTGTTTTAGGCTTAATGCTTCGAGATTGCAAGGAGGACGCCGTTCGTAATTTGACACACGGTGCACAACAAGTACATAGTACAATGTCGCCGTATGTACCATACAAACTTTTGAGTCATCCCGCGTGCATTGTACAGATTGTTACTGTGACACAGACAGGCAGCCTTGAGTGACACAACTGTTGATCCTGGAAATTGAGCTCCCGCCACGCATGTTCGGATCGTCTGTACATGTAGAGAGTTAGTGCCCGCTTGCATTTGCGAAGTCCATTGGAGTGAGCCCTCAGTTCCGAGAGTCGCCGATAATCACTAGCCTTGGGAGTGATTTGGTGTTACAGGTTCGGCCATGCATTCCAGATTCAGCTGTACCGCATAATCGTCAGTTCTTGGCTTTACAGGCGCGCGTAAAGCCTGCCGATTGTAGTCTTAGGTTTGAAACTGAACCGCACTTAAATCGTTTGCCCTCGTGCTGCCAACATGTGGTGTAGGTACGGGCCTCGCCCAAACGCCAAGGCCCGAACTCTTTGCTGGGGTGCGTCTGCCTGCTTGCTTGGGGCTATGGGGAGTCCTGTGGTTCTTAACCTTATTGTTTCTCTTTACCCCATACATTTAATTCCCTTACCCCTCGTTCCGAGTGCTGTGCCATGGCATGCTGTCAGTGTGGATCTGCCAGCTGGAATGAGCAAGTGGACAGGGGCATCGACATGAACACAGCTGCACCACCAATGACGTACAGCATGAGTGCGAAGCGAGATGGTTGACTTGGGCGGCACACTACATATTTGGGCACATGCTCCTGCATGCTTCTGCATGACTGACAATCCGTGGAATTCAGAATTCATGCGCTGTCTGAGCCCATCGATCAGATTCTACATGTGGACTGCGCGGCCTCTGGACTGCTGGCAAGCGGAGGCAATATGAGCTGGAAAGTTGTCGAACGTACAACTTCTTGACATGTCACCTTCGAGCACGTCAGGCTCTGACCTATACAGTCTGCATGTTGTGACGTCTGAAAGTGGTGGGCCGGTAGCGACTGGAATTTGTGAATGCGAATCGTGATGACTGCATGCCGTTGTGGAATTTATTGCATGCAATACTTCTTTGAATACTGTCATCGAGTACGCCGAGCTCCAATACAGTCTGCATTGGTGTGCCTGCGTGTCGGGCACACAAGCCTTCTTGAATTTCTGAATGTGGTATAATGAGTGCATGATTGCACTGCAAGATGAGACTGCATGATCGTGACCGGAGAATGGCACCATGATGAATTTGGTTCTGCATGGTCGTGACCCAAGAATGCCATCACGATGAATTCTACCCTGCTGAATTTGACCCCACGACAACTTTATGGAACGCCCGGATCTGCATGGCACAACGAGGAGTTCTGAACTGCATGAGTGAGATCATTTTGAGAGGTCATCCCGACAGATCTCGTGTATGATAGCAGTGACACACTTTACGATGATCCCCTGGCTTCCTGGATGCCGCAATTGCCGTCAAGCAAGCTGGCTACAGATGGGTCGTGGAGTAGGCGACTGTAGAAGGCTAGCGCTTTTGAAACAGAGTGGCACCACGCCACGAACATAATATGGACTGCTGTGTCGTTGACAGATGGGCGATGTTCACTTCGTCATGCATATTGTTTCTTTTATTGGATCTTAGCGCTATACTATCTGTCGGGCTCTTCTTCGCTCATGCCTTGGACGAATGCGAATAGGTCCCTCTGTCACGTTGCGCAGCATGTCCACGTAGCAATGTCGGACACTTAT